GAAACAGGGTCAAAGATCAACCAAGCAGAAATGCTACCGTGAGTAGCTCTGTTAGCAGCAGGATCTGAATCAATCAAGATGTCTACCTTTGTTTTTAAAGGGAAGCTACTGTGGAAGAAAAGCAGGAAGGAAGGAACTAACGGAGGAAGGAAACAAATATGTCCGATTTAGACATGATGTCACCATGATGGCAGATGTAATGGCTGTGCAGCACATGTTATTATCCTTGAATCACACTAGTTGTCAGCTGAGGAAGTGTTGCAAAATGGGTTTCCTGTAGTTTCAGATCAACCTGCTATGATGACGGAAGCGTGAAGCTGAGCCAGCAGCCTTTCGGTGGAGGAAGTGGTTACAGCTCGGTGAGCCAAATATCCATTTAAGAGAACATTCTGTTTTTCCAGAATATAAATGTTGTGTTGTATATTTATTTATATGCCTCTCATTTTCATTTTACTTTCCCAAATCAAAGCAGAGAAAGGTTTACTTTTTGCAGGTCTGAACATGTAATGAAAGGTTCTGAATAAAGACTTTTAGAAATGTTAGACTAATCAGCGGTGCACAGTATCTGCAGCGCCTCTTGTTGTTCCACTTCCTGTGTGAAGTGATGTGGAGCACGCAGCCAGCCATAAAGCTCCACAGGAGACTGACGGACAGCTTCGGCGTGAAGGTGGCTGAATGAGGACGGCAGGAGCTTCACCCACCTGAGTTGTGACCCTCGCTGCCGTCAGTCTGGCAGATCTGGTCCCTGGTCCTTCCGTTCTCATTCATGTTGGACTCGGGCAGCAGAGGGGGGATGGGCTTCCACAGAGGCTTGGCTTGGAGCTGGGACGCTGAGTCGCCCGTTTCCTCCTCGTCTCCCGGTGGCTCCTTCTGGTCCGAGCCCTCCGACGGAGCCTCCTCTGGAGCGGGGGTCTGGAGCGGGGCTGGTTCGGAGGGCTGGTCTCCTCCTTTGGGCTCCTGTGGTGGCCGCGGGGGGTCTGGCTGGGTCTGGCCTTCCTCCATCTCCGTCTCAGCGACATTCTGTTGGGCCAAAAGATCACATTAAATCATGAGATGTGGAAAAAAGGTCAACGTCAACTATATTGTCAATTTCTCTGCATGTGTGATACAAACAGGGAGATCGAAATGCTGTTTCTCACCGTCCCAAAGAATACAGATATAAACTTATAAACAAAGTAAGGCAATTTGTGTTTGGTAGATGATTTCTATGTTGTAACAATGCTTTTTGGCAATACATCGAATACCGTTGGAAAGCCTGTTTGGAATTAGCAGAGGAGATGTGTCATATTTTTCATGGGCGCACCCCACATACTCAGCTCTGCTGCTCATCCCACAAATGCTTGTTCCTCACAAATGTGGAACCATTGGAAAGGTAAGAAAACAAAAGCATTGTTACAACATAGAAATCATTTACCAAACACAAATTGTTACGTTTATAAGAATATACATATATTCACATACATACATACATACACTCCTGTACACCCAATTATATATATATAATAATAGATATTAGACACATATATACGTAAACCATGAGAGGTATGAATAAAAAGAAGGCACAACAGTAAGTACATTACAAAATGACGGCCTACACATACCGTCACAATTTAACAACTAAGGTAAGAAGCATTTTAATTGTAAGCATCATTTTCGCTTCTTTTTTTTTTACGAAGAAACAAGGCAACACAAATGTTAAAAGTATAGGGCAGTCAGTGGCCGTTTCTCAATCTCGAGGATACTGGCTTCCAAGCCAATATTTCAAGGATGCTACGTCATCGAGTGCCGCCGAAGGACTGTTCCAATGTCCAGCATACTTGGAATTCCACCGAGGCCGCGTCCTTGGTTTGGGGGAAATTTCGAGGCTGCACATGGGTAGACTTCGCGTCCTTAAAATCCCCACAATGCTTTGCGCACGGACCAATTTCCAAAACCCTTGCGGAGAATGGCTGAACCGACGCAGCACACATTTAAATGTAAGTATGTAGTGGCGAAGAACATGTGTTGGTAAATATGTGACTTTATTACATTTGTTATCACCAAAAAAGTGTTCCGTGAAAGTAAAGCAAGTTCATAATTAGATAGACATCGTGAGGTATTTATTTTTGGTACAGTTTGTGTTGAAACCGTTAGAGAGAGTGGCACACTTGTTAGCCTGTTCCATTCTTCTTCGTTTTCCGTAGCCGTGGCTTGGAAGTATACTTGCTTCGTTTCTGAAGGAAGTGACTTGGAAGTACGCGACTACCAAGCCAGCATCCTCGCGATTGAGAAACGGCCAGAGAATCAGTACTTTGGAAACAGGGCTGAAACAGAGGGGATTATGGGATGCTGCAATGATCTGTTTGGTGTTTCAGCCAATCAGAGACAGGTTCTGGATATATCTCAGACCTGTGATATATTGATGAAAAACAGTATAATAGGGGACCTTTAAGATATAAATAAAGGTTTTTACAGTAATTAATTACATCTTGAGGACATGAGGATGTGTAACTCTTTCACAATATGCAAATGCTCTCATAAATACAAAGCTAGGTAAATCTAACCCTTAGATATCCCTAGCTAAAATCAAGTTATTGTACCATTTATACTTTCATACAATACTCCACAGTGTGGAGGTTTAAGGTAAGAATAAACAGCTGACTATCATGCACTGACTTAGACATTTGAAAAAGCCAAAACAAAAATGTATAAAAGTCAAAAGTCAAAGTANCGCTCTCCCCCTCTCCTGACAGCCCGTCAGTATCATGCAGCTCGCGGATCAGTAATGAGTGACCCGACAGTAAAACTAAACATATCTATAACTAGTTACGGTAGTTTGAGAGGTAATTAAAATAGCTACGTGTGATATTCTAACCTGAAGTGTGTGTTTTGTCCGCTCACCGCTGCATGTGATTATGCAGAGCTGCGTGTCGACTCGTCAGCAGCAGCTGATCTCTCTCTCCCGTCAGATTAGACTTCACTCGCGTTTATGTCCATATCGATCAGATCTAGTTAGTACTAGCTAATAATAGGACTACCTGCTTATCAAGACACCTAAAGAATAAGCCTCGCTATGCAACCGGGTGAGGCCACAAAGTATATAGCGCAGCATTATGCATTTGTTTACATGCCCACCGGAACCCCGAGGCATTACCAACAGATCAACGCACAATCAACCCATACAGGACATCTCTTTCTCCACATTAAGTGTTAGACATTAGAATTGACTATTCTTGTCTGTCACAAAAGTGGCGCAACTGATGCGGTATTGCGCTAAGGGGGAATTATTTTGATCGGACACTTTGACCGGAGAGATTTAGATTCGCCGGTCTTCAGCATATTTTACCAGTCATAGTCCGGTAATTACCGGCTAACGGGAATTCTGGGTGCTGTGCCCCCACACATATCAAATTCTGTGGGAAACACTGATCTGTGTGGCCTTTTGATGACCTGTTGATGGTGTTTTCATTGTTTACAAAATGCAAGCTAGGATACAATCCAACACCCAGTCATAAGAAAAAGCAGCAAATGACATTTTTTACCGGCTATCATTTCTTCAATGAGTCTAATGCAAGAACAATCTCATTGTCTATCTTAAACATCTCTGTAACTTTGTGACCAACCACTCGTACTGTACACATGTGTCTGCCTGATGAATGTCACCTGTTCATGAGTATACCTGAGTTTTTGAGATGTGATCCTAATCAGAAATGTATCCACTTAAAAGTCAAAAGGAAGAAGCTTCACACTGCGGAGCTTCAAGCGCTGCTGTCAGAAATCAGCAGACGAAAAGCATCACAAATTCAACCGTTTGAGAAGTCATGTTGAACGATCACTGTGCTGTATGTTATGAAATGACAGTTGTACAGCTGCTAACAATGTGTCATCAGAGCAACATGGAAATACTAGAGAGGAGAATATAATCACCTAAACGAGGTGATTTACACCGTGTAGTGCAACAGAGGATCAAACTGAGTGACCCACAGAAAGAACCTGAACTACTGCAAGTTGCTGTGCCAAAATTATATATACAATAAAACAAGATACAAATCAAATCTAAACAACATCTCAGAATATTTTAAACAGGACATACAGTATACTTCATCAAAAAACACGGCAAACGCCTTACAACGGCACAAACACACTTACCATTACGAGAAACACGCTGCAGTTAAAAAAC